GTTTGTCTGATGAAAACCCTAGCACAACTTCGTCGGTGCTGAGAATAACACCATACACATAAAGGTGACTTAGTACATAACTGTGATACAGTGTGTGGGCCTGATTACAAGCTTCTTATTTCTGCATGCTGCCTTTTCTTGTTCAGTTAACAGGTTTGTATCTGTGTGGCAGGGCAGCCTCAGGCTGGTGTGCAGGTTCCAAAGCATACAATAAGTCTGTTCTAATGACTCCAGGTCTCTTGGGAAGCCTCTTTAACCTTGAGACCCACTCACTAATTAATGTGTGTGTGTTCTCTGTGTCCACAGAGATGAGTGGAAGCTAATGAGGGACTACCTCCACTCAGAGGGCACACTGGGTGCTAAATGCTAAGTGCTGTGGTATAGATTTGTGGGCAGGCAGAGTATATTTTACTGTACACAGTCCCCACCAATGTTTTAGACTGGTATAACTAAAGCAGTTCTTTTAATAACAGCACATGGTCCTTACAATCAATACTTGAATCCAGAGTATTTTCCCCACATGCTTTATAATGGTGTGGTTTTGCGGTATAATCACTATCATGGGTTTGTTTCAGCTCCAAAGTTGATTACTATTTCCTTCACTTAATATTTTGTTGAGGGAAATTACTCCTATAGTACAAAAAGAACTCATCAGCCTGCTTTCTGTAGTTACTTCTGTCCTGAATTAACATGCAGTAACTCATCCTAAGATTTTATTGTGATCACTGCAGTTGCTTCTACAGTTACCAATGTACTGTATATGTTAGTGGAACAAACTAAGAGACAGCTGTTTCTTGAACACTCCAATGCTCAGAATAGGAATAAAGACACAGCAGCATCAATAGTCCTTCCCTCTTTTTAAAGAAAGACTTATCATATCATTGCTCAGTATTTTTTGTATGATCTAATGGAATTGAAAGATGATAGAACAAAGCTAGACAGCAAAGACTGAGCGTAAACCTCTGCAAGACAGATCACTGTCCCCATAACGCCATTCCATTTAAAAGCAATATTCCCATGAGAATTTGACCCTCATAATAGGATTCCTTGATCCTGAAAACATACACCTAGTATTTGGTATCACATTGATAACATTATTAGTTTGAAAGTCGTTCCAGAAAAAATGATATTTCACCAATGGCTGTTTTCTTCAGGCTTGAGGTCAGTAACTTTTGAAGATACTCTATGTCAAAGTTGGTGACCCTAAACTGAATCAGCAGAGTTTCAGTTGAATTTGATCATAGTCACAAGTCTGTAGCATTATATGTTGTGTAGCAGGGTTTCTGTGAGTGCTATACAATAAATGTTAACATTCTGGATCACCACTTTTTATGTGCACCTGCAAAAACACCACTCAATTGTTTTCAGTCTGACTAATTTGAAGACAGTCTGCTTCTAAAAGGAATCAGTCAGGACAGAATTAAAATACGCTGTTTGAAATCTCCCCACCAAAGGAGTAAATGACATTAATATAGCAGGAACAATCAAAAAGGCAAATACAATATAGAAGACAATCACAAAAATATCAAACACATACAGTATAAAAACAACCACATAGGTAAAAATATGAAATAAATTAAAGAAATCATATTTAAAACTTGTTAATCTATAGATCAACTTGGGCAACGCTTGGCCAAAATATAAATAGTATACCTTATGTTAACAATACTACAAAAATGGTTTTAGATCAAAATCTACATTTAAGCCTTTAGGTGACAAAATAATGAAACTCATCATGGAGTCTTCTACAGCAGATGTGTTTGATCATTCTGCTTTCGAATGCCGGCTTTTTCTTTTTTTGTGTGTGTTCTTCACTCTTTCTGCAGTGCACAAATGTCATATACTGCTAACGTAAAACAGATAGGTGCCAGACTCTGGTAAGACCAAAGGAGGAGGTGTGTGCATGTTTATCAGCAACTCATGGTGTGGAGATATACGGACTGTTCATAAACACTGCTCACCAGACATGGAGTTTTAAGTGCTGAAATGCCAGCCCTATTATCTGCCAAGAGAGCATAGCAACATTTTCTGGCTAGCATGTATGTTAGCCCAAGAGCTAATCCCACAGCCACTCTTAGGAAACTCCATGACACCATAAACACGCTAGAGACAGCTCACCCCGATGCTGTCTTTTTTCATTGCCAGGGACTTTAACCAGTGCAATCTACGGACTGTACTCTCCAAATACTACCAACATGCAGCCATTCCCACCCGTGATAAGAATACACTGGACCATGTTTACAGCAACATACGGGGTGCATACAGGGCTGCACCCCGCCCCCACTTTGGACACTCGGACCATATTTCTTTGTTCGTGTACCCAGCCTACAGACAGACTGAAAAAAACAAACCCTGTCGCCAAGCAAGTTAAACCACTGGACCCCAGAGACTGAGGGCACCCTGCGAGACTGTTTTGCCTGGACAGACTGGGATGTGTTTAAAGCTGCAGCCATTTGTGACTGGGTACATTAGAACCTGTATCGACAACATTGTGCCCACCTTACAAGTCAGAAGGTTCCCCATGCTGCGTGCTCGCTCTCATGCATTCAGATCAGGCGATGAGATGGAGTACAAAGCTGCAAAGTACAGACTGAGGAAAGCCATCACAGCTTTTTTTTTGAATCCGAGGGGTTTCTATGCTACTGCTGACTCTGGGCGGATGTGGCAAGGCCTGCAGCACATCACAGACTACAGGACCACCACCAGCATCATCAGTTCCACAGACAGCCTGCAGGGTGTCCTCAACACCTTCTACACCCACTTTGAGACCTCCAGCTACAGCACAGAGAGGAGGCACACACACACCTGGGATCACCCCCCCACCCCACTAATTGTCTCACTAGGCCAGGTACTCAAAGTCCTGAGAAAGATTAACCCACGCAAAAGCAGCGGGACTGGACAACATCCCTGGGAAGGTGCTCAGAGCATGTGCCAGTGAGCTGCCTGATGTTCTCACCAACATCTTCAACCTCTCCCTCAGCCAGAGCATCGTTCCCACCTGTTTTAAGACCACAACCATCGTCCCCCTTCCCAAGAAGCACCCGGTCACCTGCCTGAACAACTACAGGCCGGTGGCACTCACCCCAATCTTTATGAAGTGTTTTAAGTGAGTGGTGCTGGCCCACATGCAGAGCAGTATATCGGACACCCTGGGCCCCTTGCGGTATGCCTACTGGCCCAACAGGGCCACCTCTGATGCTATCGTGGCTGCCCTCCACTATTCCCTTTTTCTCCTGGAAAATAGAGACTCTTACATCAGGATACTCTTCATTGATTACAGCTCCGCCTTCAACACAGTTATCCCCCACAAACTGTCCACACTGGGTCTGCACCCCACCCTCTGTAACTGGTTCCTCGACTTTCTGACTGGCAGTCCCCAGACAGTCAGGATTGGCAACAGGACTTCAGCCAGCATCATCACAAACATTGGCACCCCACAAGGATGCGTCCTCAGTCCCATCCTCTACATGCTGTTCACCCACAACTGTGTCGCCTCCCACAAAGACAACATCTTCCTGAAGTTTACAGACGACACCGCAGTGATAGGTCACATCACTGGCGGGGACGAAGCAGCCTACAGGAGGGAGGTGGCTGGTCTGGTGACATGGTACAAGGACAATAATCTCACCCTCAACACGGACAAGACAAAGGAGATGATAGTGGACATGAGGAAGGAGAGGAGATCTCATCAGCCACTGTTCATCTGGGGGCTTGAAGTGGAGAGGGTGAGCAGCTTCAAATATCTGGGCGTCCTCATCAGTGAGGACCTCACTTGGACACTTAACACCACACAGCTGCTCAAGAAGGCCCAACGGCAGCTGTACTTCCGATCTTCATCATTGACAGCAGCTTGACCAGCTGCATCACTGTCTTATATGGCAGCACTACTGCTATGGACCACGAGCGCCTGCAGAGAGTGGTAAAGACTGTGGAGAAGATCACCAGGACTCCACTGCCCTCTCTGCAGAGCATTTACCACCACAGGGTCTGTAGGAAAGCTGCCTCCATCCTCAAAGATCCCACCCACCCCCAGCATGAACTATTCACACCTCCACCCTCCAGCCGGAGGTTCAGAAGTGTGAAATGCAGGACCTCCATACTCAAAAACTCTTTCTTTCCATGATGATGCCAGGCACATGATCAAGTTTGCCAGTTCCTGCCGCAGAAAGACAGCCCCCCATCATCAATGACTCACCTCCATGCTTGACCGTGGGGATGGTATTCTGTTCATAAGCCTGGCCTTTTGCACACCAGACATACCACTGGTCAATATGTCCAAACAGTTATAGTTTTGGTTTCATCAGTCCATAGAACTGTCTCCCAAAACGCTAGTCTTATCCAAATTTCTCCTGGCATATTCTAGTTGACTTTTAATGTTCCTTGCCACCACTGAAGTAGGAATCCCCCGACCAGAGGAGGAAACATTGAGCAAATTTCTGCTTGGCACACTCAAATGAGGAGAAGAAGACAACAAAATAATGGGGGCTTGGGCTACCTTTTATTGTAATGCACACTGACTTACAAAAAATGAAATAAAATAAAAAGAAAGGTTTGACTAGAGGAGTCTCAGCTGACTGACGAGTCTCTCGACTAATAATCTGAGTAGTCATCTTTGAGGGGGCAGTCCTAGTTATGGACCCCCTTTGTTACAGTCCTCCACCTCCCTGGTCTTTAGCATCACTGCATATCAGTTGTTTCAGTTGATTTGGTGCATTATTACCATGACATAAGAAATTCATACTTTGCCAAAACACAAATTTTGACAATTATTCATATTTATGCCCACTTGTACATCTGTCTGTAGTTTGTGTAGTCTCCTTTAGTTGCACCTTATGCAGTGATAGCTTGTAAATGGACATGATCAGCTTAATGACCACACTCCTATCCCACTCCCACGTTCAAACCGTTTTTGTTTCCATCTTCTTTATCATTCTCTATAGCTTGTTTACCCTGTGATTTCTCCCACTCCTTCCTTTCCCATTTCCATCTCTCTTTTGCAGTTGTCAGAGTTATTTATCTTGTTTGAGGAAAATCCTCAGGGTGCAGCCTCCTTAGCCCAAGTCCACAAGGCAGTGCTGCATGATGGGAGGACAGTGGCCATCAAGGTCCAACACCCCAAGGTCCAGAGGCAAAGTTCCAAGGACATAGTGGTAATGGAGGTGAGTATGTGTCTGTTTTGTTTACTGTGGCTCAGAGATGAAGCATGTTATTCTGTCTCTGTCAACGACCTAACACATAACTGGCAAAAGGCACAAGAAAAGAAAAATAAAGGCATAAAAACAAAGTATAGACATCTTGGTGGGCTAAAATGTCCAAAGTTAATCTCACATTAATAGTCCTGTTTTTAGTCCACAAAACATGCTTCACTATGTTTACACAGGGGACATCGCTTGAGCAGCATGTTGGCAAATTAGCAGCACGTTCAGTCCTCAGCCTGAAGTGTCTGAGCATGGTGTTCAGTGTAGGTCACCCCTGTTTTGGCAGTGCTGCAACTCCAAAATCACTGTAGTTATGCAAGTAACAGAAAAACAGTTTTGTAACAGTTCACTAGCACTTCAGCAACTGCTTTTTGTTTACTGTAATCATTCCTTTTTTCATAGTGACCATTCTACATTGTAAGTGATGGGGGATATAGTCCTCTGTCCTCATTCCAAGAAAAAAATATATATAAATATATCCAAAAGTTTATCTAAACTTGCAGTGAGGCTTTAGCAGCCTGTCTGTTGACTGTGGATTTTGTCTCTCCTTGCTTACATTAGGGGTGCTTTATCAAGGTTTGTTCAGGTCCTTAAAAAGTCTTAAGTACAACTTAGATGGGTCTTAAAAGTTATTGATCATGTTTAGGTGGATTATTTTAATGTTAAGTTGATGTTAGTCATGCTTTGTTCCATGTCGCAGTTCTTTCTCTCATCAGTGCCCATTTATCATGTTGTAATGCATGTACAAAACCAATCCAACTTGCAACCAGAACACTGCCAAACTTTGCAGTCTGGTCAAAATGTATCAGCTAACACATTGTGTTGCATGAGATAGCAGAGCATGTCTTCCATAAGTGGTTGTTCCTGAAAATCACCCTAACAGTTGCTTTCATCTTCCTAATATGGGGAAGTGCAGATTTAATGAGACCTGGTCTGAAAACATTCAGTGCTCTTATGAAACCTGCTAAACACTGTGAATTTGAAGCCTGATGCACAATGTGCAACAAAATAGCCTCAGAGTGTGCCACTCTGTACCAAGTCCTACAACACATGTGGACAGCATTTGAATCTACACCAACATTCCAAACTGAGGGCCTGTGAACTTACACCATTCATGCATGCATTATCTATACCGCTTATCCTGAATATGGTTGCAAGGGGGCTGGAGCCAATCCCAGCTGAAATTGGGCGAGAGATGGGGTACATCCAGGTCACCAGTCTATCACATTGCTGACATGTAAACAACCAACCACACATATTCACACTGACTCCTGTGGGCAATTTAGAGTCAGCAATCAACATAAGCTGCATGTCTTTGGACTGTGGGAGGAAGCCGGAGTACCCAGAGAGAACCCACGCAGGCACAGGGAGAACATGCATACTCCACACAGAAAGGCCCCGGGTCAGCCTGGGCTCGAACCCGGAACCTTCTTGCTGATGAACTTACACACTGCAGCTGAAAGAATTGCCCAAGAATGACTTGCAAAGTAGTTTACTCTTAGTCAAGATGAATACTTTGTACTTTTTTCCCAGTATGGATGTGAAATATATCTTAAATTGCATGAAGAGTAGTCTCAAATTGCCCATGCAGGTGATCAGGTCTTTAAAAGTCTTAAATTTAACTTGATGAAACCTGTAGATGGGCACCTTACTTCTAAGACAGATTTGGAAAATTGTGAACCTATCTTTTAACCATACTGTAGCTGCCATGTACAGATGTGCATAAAATCTGAATTTTAAAAATGTTGAGATTTGTTTTATAATTGGGGCTTTTTCAGAATCATCCAATATCAGTGTCATTGTCTGGGGCTTTTGTTGATTGATGTGTAAAATCTGTGTGGTGCCGCTTCCACAGGTGATGGAACACATTTGATTTGCTGTTGTTGATAGCAGTTTTTCCCAGAAGTGAAACATGAATAAAGAATTTAATGACCTCTCAGTACAGAATCTTATCAGCTGTGCTTCTCCTAAAATATACTGGCATACAATGTCAACCATTGACAGGATATTGCTGTAAACATATGTGCCTGTTTTATTTTAGTTGACAGTGAAACTGACTGATTTGTAATTTGTAGGTGTTGGTGAGGGTGGTCCATTGGCTCTTCCCAGAATTTTCCTTCATGTGGTTGGTGGAAGAGGCCAAGAAGAACATGCCGCTGGAGCTGGACTTCCTTAACGAGGGACACAATGCTGAGAGGACGGCCAACATGCTGGCCCACTTCCCCTTTCTCAAGGTACACACATTCAGTGCCACTTTTTTCTACCTTGATTTTTTATAACAACAGGGCTGTGAAGTTCACAATAGGATTTCATTTTTGATCCTCTGTTGGTGCGATGTGTGCACACATACTAGTAAATAGCTGGTAATAATCTGAGACAGTCTGTTTCAATTTAAGGCCTCTGATTAAAATTGTACTCAGTACAGTTAATAGAGGTCAGACTTTTCCACTGTTTATGGCAGCTCTCTCTGTGCTGGCTGTCGCCTCATCCTGAAGACCAGACCAGGGTTAGCAGAGCGCCGCAAATCATATTTCCTTTACTAGACAGAGTTGGGTTTCATGTCCATTATCATTTAATTTCCTGGTGTCCCTTTTCTTAATATGTCTGTTTGAGAACTTTTATTAGCTCTGGTGAATATGAATTAGACTTCTTTTTTCAGCTCTTTCTTTGTTCGATGTTCAAACACATAGAGATAAAACAGCTTTTTTTGTCATTTTCTTTTTATTCTGCTTTTTTTTTTAAATTGTATAGGATGCCATGTTATCAGTTTAACATAAGTTACATGTATTTTTATGCACTGTTCCATACATACTGTAAACCTTAGACCAAATGCTTTCCAGTGCATCCAAAAAGCCTCCACTTAGCCTGATTGGAGACTTAAAATAATAATAAAAAAATCTAATTTCCAGCACATATATTTATTCTTATCATTTATTCTAAGATTTCTAAGATTTAATGACCTTAATGAAATTTTCTTCTGCCTTCATCAGTATTAGAATATTTTGCCTAAAAAGTGCCATTCATACAGCTTTGCTTTATAAATTGGATTGGTCGATAACAACCATATTTGCAGCCATCAGTAATTTACACTAACTATTTAAAATTGATGTTTTTATTTTTTTATTTTTATTTAATTCATTGTGTGATAAACACAAAGAGCATGTTTACTTTTAAGGCCTTGTAGAAATCAGATCAGATGTTTTCTACCAATATAAATGTGCTGTTATTAATATATAGTATTTTCTTAATAAGTGAAACACTGTGCTTTCAAAAAGACAAGTGATTTGAATGTTATGCTGTTGACTTTATGTCCTATTGATGGAGACGCAATGAAAAATAATGATAGTGCAGCCATAAAAGAAGACAAAATTCAGGGCTAAATACAGCAAAGCTTTTGTATATAGAAAGAAAACAATGTAATGCATGATAATACACATGCCAACAAACAAACACTCACACATTCACATACACATTCACACTCAGGCTATTACACAATCTGAGAGTTATGGGTAATATCTAATCAGAGGTTTTACCCAGGACTGTTTGAACCTCACTTGACAGAGGTGAGAGGAGGAGAAGGAGTCAGGCTGCTTGAACATTTTGTATATTACACTTTGCAATTAAAAAGCTGAATGGTTTGATTGAACTTAGACAGTGAATTTAATCAGTCCTGTTTTAACAGTAACCTAAATTATAACCTAACGCACACGCCTAGCAGCTTCACAGGAGAATGAATTGTAGTGAAAAAGTGGTGGATTCCAACACATTGTCAGCCAAAAATGTAATAAAAATGAGCAAAACGGCACTCCGTTTTGGTCTCCTCCTCACCTTTTATAATCCTTTCTCTCCACAGATTCCCATGATCCACTGGGACCTGTCCACAAAGAGGATCCTGACCATGGAGTTTGTTGATGGGGGGCAGGTCAATGACAGAGACTATATGAAGAAACACAGCATCAGTGTCAATGAGGTACAGCCTGCTGCTCTGCCTGCTCCCTGTAAAGCAGTGTGTGTGTTTGTATGTTACAGAAGCTAAGTTATACACACAGCAGAATGAATTGTAGTGACCAGACACAGTACTAGGTGTAGATCACACACACAGTCATAGTACTGACACTTGTAGAACAAGAGAAACATAACTTGAAGTGTAAAAAATGCTTTGTTTCTCATTTAGATGCATATAGTTCGAGTGAAATGCAAACTGTTACACAGCCTGAGTAGACAGCTAGATTAACTGAAATAGGAGCATATCTGGTCCATCAGATGTAGCTGGACATTTGATAGACGTGGCTGAAAAATGTCCTGTGTAGATCCATCATAAGAGAACAAGCTTTTTCCACTGTGCGCTCACTGTCCTTATGTGTAACCTTATGTGTAATCTCTACTGTTTCATCTCTTTATTTTTTTATGCCCTTCTGTTCTCACGGCACACAGCTTTTAAATAACCAAAACGTGTGTTTGTGTGAAAGGGGAAGAGAGTGTGCATGTGAGGGACAGTGATAGTTTTTAGCTTCTTGGAGTAGATGTGATATACTATCAAATAAGAGCATGAAGTGATTGATTTACTGAGGATCAGCTCTGATGAATGAATTATTTACTTCTTATTTAGGTTTACAATTTTAATCATGTCAAAGGTGACATTTTAATCCAACATGTTTAAAAGTCCACGGGGGAGGGTTTTACTGCAATGTGTATCTTTTTCTTTCTTGTTTTTCTTTATTGTTTTGGAGTCCTGAGCGGAGAATAACTATTTATGTAACATAACAAAATCTGTTGAATCTGTTAGAATAGAATAGAAGAGAAAGCCTTTATTGTCTTTGTAAGCAACAGCAAAAATAATAAAGGAAAACAGGTACTGTCTAAAATAAATAATTAAAAAAAATTTAAAAAAATATTAGATTAGATTCAGCTCTATTGTCATTACACATGTACAAGTACAAGGCAATGAAATACAGTTTAGCATCTAACCAGAAGTGCAATAACAGCAGTGCAGAGTGCGCATTATCTACAGTAGGTACAGTAAATTTGTACAGAATTTACCGATAGATACAGTATGTATAATTGATATTTACAGTAAGATATGTAGGGCAATGTACAGTATACAACAGACTATGGATTTAGATTACAAGTAATATGTATACTATAATATATACCTATTTATGAAATACAGATTAGAAAATAAGTCTCTCATTACATGGTTGACTTTAGAGTATGTCTGGCCTTGGGGAAAAAACTGTCCTTGAGTCTGGAGATGTGTTATTTAACAGGCCTGTACTGCCTGCCAGAGGGTAACAGTTCAAAGAGATGGTATTGAGGGTGAGTGGGGTCTTTTATAATGCTAATAGCTCTACAAAGGTAGTGGGAACTTGCAATGTCTGCCAGTGAAGGCAAGGAGCAGCCAGTGATGTTCTGTGTGGTATTTATTATATGCTGTAGAGCCTTCCTGTCTGAGACATTGCATCCTCAATACCACACTGAAATGCTGTACTTCAGGATACTCTCAGCATGATGGAAAGCCACCAGCAGTTTCTTTTCTAGGTTATTTTTCCTTAGGATTTTCAGGAAATTAAGCCTCTGCTGAGCCTTCGTAACCATCGAAGCAGAATGAGCAGACCAGGAAAGGTAATCTGAGATAAAGGTGCCTAGGGAATTAAAGGTGTGCACCCTTTGTACACAGTCTCCATTTACATAGATGGGGTCCAGTTCAATGCTCTGCTTCCTTCCAAAATGAATTCTTTGGTTTTTGTCATGTTAATGACAGGCTGAACATCACTCTGTTAGTCTTTGAATTTTATTCCTGCATGCTGACTCATATCCAGAGATGAGTCCCCCTACAGTGGTGTCATCCTCAAATTTAATGAAGATCATAGAGTGATGGGTAGGTGTGCAATCATGAGTGTACAATGACTATAGCATCGGGCTTAGCACGCAGCCTTGTGGTGCGCCAGAACTAAGTGTGATGGGGGAGGACCAGTGGATGCAAAGTTTGGCAGTCTGTTGTTGACCTGTAAGAGTCTTGTATCCAGAAGCAAATAGAGGTGGAGAGGCCGAGGTTGTGTAGTTTATTAAACAAGATGTGTGGTATGATTGTGTTAAATGCTGAACTACAGTCTATGAAAAGCATCCTCACGTAGTTATCCGGTGTTCAAGGTGAGTCAGTGCAGTATGAATGGCAATGGTAGTGGTGTCTTCGGTGGATCTGTTGGCATGGTTTACAGACTGATATGGGTCAAGAGGAGGAAGAAAGTTTAATATGTTGTAATACCAACTGCTCAGAACTCTTCATCACCATAGGGGTGAGGGAAACTGGTCTATAGCAGTTCAGTCCATCAAAGCCTAGCTTTTTGGGGACTGGGATAATCATGGCTCACTATAAGCAGGAAGGTGGCTCTTGTCCCATGGGGTGCAGGGGTGATGACAACAGATACTGCAAAGATTTTGGTAAAGTTGGAAAGATTCCAAGTTCTTGAATCAATAAGTCATAAGTGAGATGTTGTTAAAACACATATCATGCCTTTTACAACAATATTGGGGTAGACAACAAGCTATAGACAAATTTTCATCAGTGCAAGCTGGAGATGGTTTCACAGCTGGCTGCACATAGAGAGCAGTTTGTGCAGCACAGAGCCCGCCTCGTCTGATGAAGCTTATGTTGTAGCTTGTTTTCACCTCAGTGCAGTTGGAGAGAGATGTCTTTTGTGTTCGAATATGAATATTTTTTTTACTTTGCTGCAGAGTGGAGGTGCACAGTTGTTGAGAATCACTGAAATCCGCATACAATAATTAGTTTACACACAGGCACACAAAACATCATACAAAAGCAGCTTATGAGCCATGATAAATAATACATAGGCTGCACGTTCCCTGATCAACATCTTGGAGGCATTTCTGAGAGCAGGTAATGTCAATCTGTGCACTGCTGTCATGAGGTGGTTTTGATCCACTAGTGGGTATTGTAGCTATGTGATGCTTCTTCAGACAGTAATGTGAGAATATCGTTAAATTTATGGATGATGTTACAAAATGTTTCGATCCACCATTCCCTCACCCCCTCCCCTCAAACTGTTATTGAACCTTCTGACTTTTGCGCACTGGTAGACCTATCAGATGTTACTAGATGGAAAACATCCAACACCGAATGAGCATACTGCTCAAAATGACTGTGCACTGCACTCACTCCAAGCCGTGCAGGGCTCATGTTATTACAAGAAAAAACAGTACCATGTGTTGTTATAAGGAGAAAATCCAGTGTTGTAATAATGAGGAAAAATTGTGTTTTAATGTGAGCATATATCATAAAAACGAGAAAAGTATCTTGTTATAATGAAAGTGGCTTCTTGTTATAACAAAATACTAAGCAAGCATTTTGGTGAGTCGAATGTTGCCTAAATGACTATGGTATGGCCAGCATGTACATGTGTACTTGTGTACATAATGCAACCCCTAGTCACCAAAATGCTTCACTGTAATGATGGTATTAGCGATGAGCAGTGCCTGATCATCAGACATAGTACTTGGAATTCTGCCCAGAGAGTTCAGTTTTTGTCTCGATAGACCAGAGAGCCTTTTTCCTCATGTTGTCAGAGTTCCCTAAATCCTGTTTGATTAGCTCCTAGCAGCTGTCATATTTCCTTTACTCTAAGTGGCTTCTGTCTAGCCACTCTACCATCAAGGATAATTTGAGAGTACAGCATAATGCCAAAAATGTCTAGAAATGCACACTGATGGACTGGTTTTGAAAATAGAACCACTACAAATTATACACTGTGCTGGCTGTGTGTGTGTGTGTGTGTGTGTGTGAGTGAGAGAGAGATTATTATGCTCCTGTGCAGTACATATTACATCAATGTGTGTTAATGTTTGTGAGTACATTCTCTGGCCAAACTCCAGCTAGACAAACAACCAACCATATGGTCAATTAAGGCTCATCAATGCCCCTGTTATCATCTTTACCAGCTGATAATTAGGAAAACAACAGCCTGTCAGCACAACACTCTGCTGAAAGTCATATTACCCCACCTCACTTTCCACACTGGTCAATGTCAGGAAATCAAAAGATGCTGTTTTATGTAACACCTGATTTAGTTTTAACACAAGTCACTGTCATTGATATCTCAAAACAGCAGATTATTTATTAAAACATACCATAACCTTTCATAATATGATGGGTTAACCAGGTGAAATCATAAAATAATACCAACAACTAATAATGTGTACAGCAGTTACTGTGTAGGACATTTTTGGAAGTATATGACTTTAGTAACATAAAAAGTAGGGACGCACCAGTACTGATACCAATGTCGGGTATCGGGTCCAGTACCACCCTCCCTTTGCCCTGTTATTCTTCATCACCTTCTGAGGATTCTCCCATCTGGCCTAGACATCTTAGTGGCACGAACTAAAAGAGTCATGTTGACTCACACATTGCACACTGCACCAGACCAATCTGGCGATAAGTGGACTACTGAAATGAGTCACTCATGGACAAGAGATGAGAACCTGGATCTGGGTCAAGTTTCAAAGCACAACATACACCATAACAACCTCCAAAACCTTTTCTAATGAATCAAGACTCAGAGCTACAGGGCCTACAGAAACACACCTTTTGATACAGTTATTAATTGTGTTCTATCTAGGGGTGGGAACATTTTTCATAAATTAGTACTAGCAGATTTTTTGGCATATGGTAGCCCACTACCCAGGATGTAGTTACACTGTTGGAAATTTTATGATTTCAATAATATTTTCAAAATTTCCTATATATAACAAATGATTTTATGTTCTCTTTACCTGGGATTAAGTAATCATCAGTCTTGAGCGAGATCCTGATTGATTCCATCAAGGTCCTCTCCAGTTCCTCCAGGATTTCCTCCTAATTCAGCATCAAAATCTTTAGCTCATATTACTCAGACAGCCAAATACTGCATTCAAATAACCTGAATCATACATTTTAACTGTTTAAATGTGTGTTCAGAGAGCTGTGCAGCTTAAGAGCCATGATAAATAATACATAGGCTGCACATTCCCTGATAACCATCTTGCAGGCATCTCTGAGAGCAGGTAACGCGAATCTGTGCACTATAAGGTGGTTTTGATCCACTAGTGGGTATTGTAGCTATGTGATGCTTCTTCAGACAGTAATGTGAGAATATCTTTAAATTTATGGATGACGTTACAAAATGTTTCGATCCACCATTCCCTCACCCCCTCCCCTCAAACTGTTATTGAACCTTTTGCACACTGGTAGACCTACCAGATGTTACTAGATGGAAATCTTCCAACAAAACATGAAATCCAGCAAAAGATTAAAAAATAGACTGAAACAGTATAACTAAAAATATGTAGTGAGGTTCTTTAAACTTGACCCTGGTTTGAAAATGAACAGAGCAAGAAACAGAGATTTCCATGATTGAGTGTTAATGCACATCTATAAGCTATATGTAACCCACGCTAGACACACGCTAGACAGGGCAAAGGCAGGTCAGCCTGTGCGATCCACAGAGCTGAACTATGAACACTAGTTGACGGTGCGGCACGTTATACAGCTATATGAGCAGTGGTGTCTGCAGCTTTGAGCCTATTTTTCAGACAGGATGCGGTGGGTGCTGTGCCCCGCTATCAAACCCATTCATCTCTATGTGTGGCGCAGTGCAAGAACATACAACTCGGCACAGCGCAGATACTGTATCTCACATGTGTCGTGAAGTTAAAGAAAGTTTAACTTGGGCACGGTGCTCTGTGATGACACCTCAATGCATCCAATTACAGAGAACCTGGCAGACCACAAAGAACAGGGTATTTAACCCTTTCAGCCTCTGTCTCTGGTGTATCTCTTTAGTAGTCTCCTTTGTTTAGCACTCTCCAGGGCCAAAAACACATTGTTTTGAGGGCTTCATTGGCATCTGCTGTTCATGTTTGGGAATGTTCCTGTACAGGGACCTGGCGTTTTGCCTGACCAGGTCTAACCTACAAGTAGCCACCAGTGAAGCCCCCCGTGGTGCTGAATGATCAGCTCATCAACGCTGGATTTCCCCGGAGCACAGTACCTGTTTGTTTTGACTGCTTGAGGCCAGTGTGTCTGCTGCATGTGATGTGTTGCTGGTTAATGAGAGGATTCTAACAATCCATGATGTTATTTTTGGTGCTATGGTACTTGTTGGAATTAATTTCACTATTTTGGGACTGTATGTGGCCGCATGTAACATGGGGGATTTTTGGGGGAAGACACAGCGATCACTGATTGGATTTACTGACCTTGAAGCTTCCACTACTCGGTGGGACTTAACAGTAAGTTTAAAAAAACACACATTGCATGTCTGTTAATGCCTTGTTTGTGTAATGTTAGAGAGAATTGTTGTAAAACTGGAGAAGTTTGTGTTACACGTCTCTTTTCATTGGTACATATACCGTTGTTTACCTATCTGTGGAGTAGGAAGTCAAATTAATTAATGCTTTGCAGTTTGTCATGCTGTCCACTTTCATATTTTGGCTCCAACATGTCAGGTAGGATTTGAGGTATTGTTATTGTCAAAAATGCAGCTTATTTGTCAAAGTTTTTTTTACGTGTTGTTGTAGCTTCCCAACTGGCAACAGGAGTTGTGTGTGTTCACGAACTATCCTCTGGTTTTCAGGAGGAGGCTCTGCTTGTGATATTGGGTTTTATCATTCTGAAATAATTACAGACTATTTAGAGTTACGATGGGTGCAAAGCTTATCTAGAGGTACACAAGATTAAACATTAAATGGCTGGAAATGAGCAAAATGAGCATGCCATGGGAACTTTAAATGCAAATATTTGTAGCATTATTGCACATATGGAGCTGATCTATTCACTGGAGTAAATAATGTATAAGGCAACAGATATTAGGCTTACTCGACAAGGGTTCCTCCACCTCACAAATCCAGATTTGACCCCTGCTGACCCCTGTTAGAAATACCATCAAAAGTATTCCTCTGTTAAATGGACAGAAATGTTATTAGTGTATGACATGAAAGTACATAGAATTTTTTAATTGATTCTGCCAACCAAAGTACTGTATGGTCACAGTAAAACTGTTGAGCACAAAGTGAAACTATGAAGTGAAGCGCACAACTTTAATGACTCTGCTCATTCATGATGCCTCTGTTATATCACTGAATGACAACAAGTGACTGGGATTTGTTGTCATAAAATTAGGGAGTAAAGTATTTTACAGCCAGCTAACAGCCTTATCTTTCTTCACGATGTTTCCATCTATGGTGTTGAATATAAGTATAAAATATATCACCAATATTTCCTCACAGCACAAAGGCATCATTGATAATAATCATAATGATAAACCAATATTGGCGCAATTACCAAAGGGGACACCATAGCAGCCTCTAAACAGGTGGTGATGTATTTAGATTTTTAAGCTCTCTTGTCTTCTCAGTGTCATTTCCTCAGTGTTTGTTTTTTCTTCCTTTTTTCCATTAGTGTTGTGAAATGTGTTTGGCTTTAAACATGCAGTTCTTCATTGTATTCCAAACAGATTTCAGAGAACCTGGGTAAGCTGTATAGTGAAATGATCTTCGTCCATGGCTTTGTTCACTGTGACCCGCACCCAGGCAACGTTTTAGTCAGAAAGTGTCCCCAGAGCAAGAAGACAGAGATCATCCTGCTCGATCATGGCCTTTATCAGGTGGGAAATCTCCCAGCAGCCCAGACATAAAGAAAATACAATTTTTTCTAATATTGCAATCCATTTTTCATGTTGCTAGCTGAGGCCTTGAGCAAATGGATAGAGCAGGAAAAGCACAGTCAAAAGATGCGCATTAAAAGACATGGATGGCACACACACTTTCACAAACCAGACATTCACGTTTATTAGAGCTACAGCAGGATAAAAGCTTTTTCATAAACAACTCATTTGATGTTGTTCGTAGCAGAGTGCACTGTGCTGTGCTTAGATTGGTGCACCACAGCCTTAAATATGTGCACTCACACAAGCTTTTTGTTAACACACTTGCTCTTACAAACCCCTGCAGGCTGACACAGTAACAGGTCTGACATGACTGTTTATTGCTTGTTCCTATATTCATGAGGAGAATTGAGTGATAAATATTGAACTCCTTTGTGTTTTACACACACATATACATATATACAGACGTCCCTTCGACTGTAATGGCACCAATTTATTCCAAATGACTTCTGATTTCAGCTGTCGTTTTACACTAGAATATTAATCCGCTTTTTATATACACACCTACACACATGCAGTGATTTCCAGTGCCATTACCAGTAGGGTACTAGATATTGCATATATGTCTAAAGTGCTTTAGTGGGTCTGGAAATGGCAGAGGGTTCTTGGCTAGGTGATGAATGTAGCTAAAGTAAGAAATATAAAGAAATCAACACATTAAACACATTCGTTTAATTTTTTACCATTGAGGTAAATCTAAATGTCCATAAAAATCTCAAGGCTACAAGTCCATCTCCAGAGATCTGGCTGTTGCTGTGTCCACTGTGTGCAACATTGTCAAGAAGTTTACAGCCCATGGCGCTGTAGCTAATCTCCATGGACATGGATGAAAGAGAAAAATAGATGACAGATTGCAACAAAGATTGTTCAGATCATGGATAAAAAAATCTCAATCAACTTCCAAACAAATTCAACCTGACCTGCAGGCACAGGGTGCAACAGTGTCAGCTCACAGTATCTGTGGCCATCTGAATGACAAGGGACGCGATGGTAGGAGACCCAGGGGGACCCACTGCTGACACAGAAACATAAAAAAGCCAGACTGAGGTTTGCCAAAACTGACCTGAGGAAGCCACAAGCCTTCTGAGAAAATGTCCTGTGGACAGATGAGACTTAACAAAGAGCTTTTTGGCAGAGCACAACAATGAGATGGAGAGTTCTGAAATGGCCAGCAATGAGTCCAGATCTAAATCCCATAGAGCAGCTGTGGAGAGATCTCAGAACAGCAGCTGGGAGAAGGAACCCTTCAGACCCGAGAGACCTGGAGCAGCTGGCAAAAGAAGAGTGGCCCAAAATTCCAGTAGAGATTTCAGTTATTTTATCCAAAGGGTGTGCTACCAAATATTAAGCTGAGGGTGTCAATAATTCTGTCCAGTCCATTTTTGGAGTTCTGTGTGGAATGGATCAGATTTGGATTTTTTCTAATTTTTTTTTTGTGTGTGTCATCCCAATGCAAACAAAAGAAATAACCATGAGAATACTTAAGAATTTGTGATTGCAACTATTTTCTGGGAGAAGTGGTGCCTTATCTGACAGAAATGCCAATACTTCATGACTATGAGCGGGTCCTGTTGTGGCCTCATTTTGAATGAAAACACTTGCTCCACAGACTCTAGCATGCACACATCACCATTTTTAGTACATTGTGCTGTTGGTTTCGTGCTGTTCTGTTGAAAAGTTGGTATCACACCAAGAACGTAAATGACAACTGGTAGCAGGTAAATGAGAAATACATTTAAATTTAATATAATACATAAAGTTGTCTTCATAGATGTTTGATGAGGGAAAGAATACATTTGACACATTAGACTTCAGTGATTCAACGTGTTTTTGTGAAAAATATAGAATGTAAACATCACTCTTAGTGAAAACGCTACAGTAAACACAACATACTGACGCTAGTGATACACTAGACTTTTACACTTTTGCCATAAATTATCATTAAAATAGACAGATTCTTAACAAATGACACCTAATTACCCATTCCCCCTCCCTTCCCCTCCAGATTCTACAGCCAGACTTCAGGTTGGACTACTGTCGACTGTGGCAGGCTCTGATTAAAGGCGACATGTCCAGGGTGGAGCGTTACAGCCGCAGACTGGGAGCAGGAGATTTGTACCCTCTGTTTGCCTGCGTGCTCACTGCTCGCTCCTGGACCGCCGTCAGTGCTGGCATCAGTTCTGTGCCTGTCACACACTCTGAGGTATGATCTCAGGCACACACTTGTACACAGTGCAATATAAACAGCTTCACAGATGTTCAAAAAGCAAATCAGGCAGTATAAAAAAAGACAAACTAAATATGAAGTAATATTAAAACAGCAAAACCATACACACAACAGTAAAGTCTAGAAATCTAGAGACTGCAATGATAATGTCATGGATGGTTTGAACACTATATGATCAAGGTATTCATGTCTGTACTGTAGTGAAAGTAGCACATTAGCTGTGCAGGAATCAACACAGTCACTGTAGTTTTAGTGTGTGCACAACATGGAAGAACAACAACAAGTACACTTTGGATTGCAGTTACATGTGAAGTGTGAGATGTTAGAGGGCTGGCGCTGACAGCTGTGACAAGAAATACTGTGGCTATACGTATTTTAATTACTATACGGCAAGTGTGGCTTGTTATCTTTATTTCCTAAATAGTTTATTAATAGTGCATTAGGAAAACAGCAACATTCTTTCACCTGCTTCATAGACTTTAGAAGAGAAGTACAGTATTTAAAAAACTGAAAAAAATGGCTTTACCCTTTTGTACAATAAAATAAAGTTAATAAAAAAAAAAAAAATAAATAAATAAAAATATGTAATTAAATGTAGTACCTGACAACAGACAAAAGAAAATTCAAGCATATAGTTCACAAGTTTATTTAAGACATTAGAGACATGTGCTACTCTAGCAGTGATAGACCCAGCATACAACCACAACACACCACTAAACAAGCTGGAATGGCAGCAGCTACATGTGGCGGGAGTCAGAGGACTGTTGTGTAGACTCGTCATTTTGTGATTAATACTGGTTAACATAAAAACAGGAAGATATGAAAGGCTGCTATTACTGTCAGCTGGTTAACCATATGCTTACTAATATTGAACCAAATCAGGTTTCCCATTTTTTTTAGCCTCTGCAGTGAATACCTCAGTCACATCAGGGTAATATGTGATATGGGTCAGAGTTGTGTAAACATCAGCTACAAACCCAGTTTGCCCATATCATGTAGTGGGTCTGGGCCTGTTTGCAATGGCTGTGGCCCAAGCCCTCAGTGACAGGGCTGGACTGTGAAGCGATTTTAGCATATAGGAACTCAACTTTGTTTTCAACTTTGTGATGCACACTTACTGTACTTCATTGACCATTAGTGTGGACCTCACTGATGCTTTTGTGGCTGAATGGGTGTGAATTTTTGCAGCTAGAGTCAACATCTGGTTCAAGAACTGAAACCTGAAAAGTAGAGGCTGCTATAGCAATACATTAATGACTGTGAGTTTGGAGTGTCCGCATACTGTACTATTGGTTATGTAGTGTAGCAGGTTAATTTTTAGTGATATTCTCAACACTGAACATTAAAATGATTAAAACTGGATTTTCTTCTGTTTTTAGAATCTCCCAGTATAAAACTGGTTTGTGTGTGTGTGTAAGTGTTCCTTTACTCTGAGGGGTTCCACAATGCCATCTGTGCTTGAGGGAGTTTATTTATATACCTCTCTTATGCAACATTTTCAAGCTGGCTAAAGTATTACAAACAGTGTGCCACCCCCTCACACACCATGGGCAGTACAAGGCAGAATTGGAAGGGTCCAGTACACACAACTCCTTGTCTTATTTTGTAGCTCTCAAAATGAAATATGTTTTTGGGGAAGCATAAGGTAAGGAGTTGATGTTACATCCAGCCAGAAATAGCACCAAAAAATACTGATAATATTCTAATTTTGTCTGATCCTGATACAAATTTAAAAATAGCCCAGTAAACCACATATAGTGTACAGTACTGTGTAGATCGATGAAGGGGCAGAATTTTGACTTTCGGTAAACATACTCGTATTTAGATGGAGAAAGCATGGAAATGCTGACTGCTACAAATAAGTAGTGGACAAGTTAGGGGAGGCAGGTTTCTCAACATGTAGTGGAACAAGTCAGAGTACAGTGGAAAATCCTGAGGAAAAAATTACTTCATGCCCAAACAACAAAAGGAGGTGAAGTCTAGAAAGTTTTAAATTCTTCAAAATATTGGATGACATGCACTGCCCACTTTCGACTGTAGAGGAGTGAGGAGTTGGAATCTCCTTCCCTGTCCAATAGATACTGAGCCTAGCAGGCTACATCAACTCAAGGTAGCATGCTTAATGATTATTAAGTGTAGGCCTTTATATCCTCAGCCTATTTACTGTTCCACATTCAGTAACTACTGCAAACACAACAACTCCTCTTTCTCCTCATCATCCAGAATTTCATTCCCTCTACTGTGCCAGAGTGCAGTGGCAGCTCCACAAATCCTCGCACTGTGAGTATGAACACAGTGACAGGCACAGAGGGTGCGTCGTACGTAGTGACGCGTTGTAGCATGTAGACCTCATTAGGCTGCATTCAGACTAGCATTGGCCTTGCATGAAAAAAAACGCACCCCCCTTATTCATTTGAACAGAGCCAGTCCATCTGCACAACAGGGGTGCAGCAGTTGGTGGCTCAGGCAAAAAAATGAAACCATGTTTATGGTTTGAAAGTGGCACAGCATTTTAAAAACAGGTACTTCCTGGTTTGACAAACAGCTTTAGAAGGTGGTTTCAATGGAAAACAATCCATCAGATCTTTGCAAAGATGCTAGATAGTTCTAGGGAGAGCTTAGGTGTATCTTTTTTCTTTGTCAGGTTGCTGATTATTTAGTGAATTCTTGTGTGTGTGTGCTTTTATGAATTCATTACCATTATAGTTGTATTTCAGTGTGAGAATGTGTATAGATAAGGTATATTTTTCTTCGTCTCTCCCACTTCAGCTGAGACGTAAGCTCCCATCAGTACAGGCCGCCTGTCTGTCATTTATGTTTCCTGTTTTATGGATATGCATACACACACACACACACAAACCTAATTCTAACCTCAATTCTAAAACCAAGTGTTAATCCTCAGACAGCTCTTTGAAGTAAGGACTGGTCAAAATATCCTCACGGCCATGGTTTCACACCAGAATTTGTCCTCACAATCATAGAGAGACATGCACAGGCGCACACACACCCACCATTAGGCAGACTCCCCTCTCCAGCCCTGTACTTGAACACACTTGCTGATTTTGTAGCACTCTGGCGTTCAGAAGATATTTGGGGACATTTGTGTGGCCACAAGCACTCATCTGCTTTGCTTTGTCTTCATAACCCTTTCTGACATCTCCTCGTTTCTGTCCTTTGTTGTTGCTCTCTTCTATTTTTTTACTCTCTATCCACTCTTTTATGCACAGATCAATTTTAAGCCTGCTTCTAACAACTGATGATGCATTCCATTAGTGTTAATGCAATCACATGTGAGCAGCAAATGTTGAGTGCTTTAGCGCTCTGGCTTTTTGCCACCTTTCTTTCACTTGCAGGAATATTTCTTTTTTAATGAATGTTTTTCTTCTAAACATTGGAGAACAAAGTAATTAGTGCATAATATGGTGGCGCTGGTTTGAAAAGTCAAGGACATTTTGCCGAAGGCTAGGCAAAAAATACAGTCTTTAATTTTTACCGTCTAAACCATTTTGAAATGTCCTTTTGGTTTAGAACTCAGTGTACATTGCAATTGATCAAGAATAATAAAAGACCTGAACCACTTGCAAAGCTGTCATCATTATGAATGTTAAATAAGGATAATCGCTTTATTTGGCCAAGTATGTTACACACAAGGAATTTGTTTCCGGTACAGAACCAAGGCAGCCATCTGCGGCGCAAACTCACACCAATGGCTCTAACCATCGGGGGCAACTTGGGGGTTCAGTGTCTTGCCCAAGGACACTTCGACATGTGGACTGCAGGCACCGTGATTCGAACCTCTAACCACAATCACCTCCATATAATAAATAAAAAAAAACCCTAAAGATTTAACCTACACAGCTATGGGCTGCTTCACTTCTTCAACTAAACAGAGCATTGTTATGCACTTTAATTTTCGGTTTTAGCACAAATAGTAGGAAAGTTGACACAATATTTCATCTGCTCCTACTGTTTGTTTCTTACCAATAGCTAACATTAGCCAGTTTGGTCAGAGGGACAGACTGAACAAAGTTGAATCTACACACTGTTCATCCAGCCGCTGTGTCTTTGATACTGTACTTTGTTAGTAAACACAAATCACGAGCACACATCAGTGTCATTTTTCATTTTGTCCCACTCACAGATGCAACCATCAGATGCACAATGAGAGGGCCAGAGGCATCTAGCCTTTTTCTACAAGCTGTAATAACTCAGTGTTCACGTTATATACATTGTGCAGAAGTACACATTCAAATTAATATCGTTAATTTGATTTATCATCTAGCCCTAAATCGGTTTCATGTTTTCTGACCTGCTCCTGTTTTACTGTAATCTGCTGTTGAATCTTTTTGTTGTTAATTGTTGCATTCGCACACACCTAACAGACTTTCTGTTCTCACTCATTCCAGTTTCTCTTACTTTGCAGTTTTTGATCACTGTTAAGCTACACCAACACTTCATGCACAGACATTTCACATTAAAAGCTGATTTCCAGCAGCTCAAATGGTATAATTTCTCTCCTCTTTAGTGGGCTTTTAATCAGGATAATCACCTTTATTGGCTAAGCATGTTACACACAAGGAATTTGTTTCCAGTACAGAACCAATGGCTCTAACCATCAGGTGCAAAAGGGGGGTTCAGTGTCTCACCCAAGGACACTTCGACATTGGCTCACTGCTAAAACTAATGGTTAGCCTCGCGCTAAAACACCAATCTACAGATTCTTGCTAGATTGCTTTTTGGGGGGGGGAACAGTTCGCCACCTGCTAATAACACAAGCTTCTGGTCTTCTGGAAATGTTACTAGATTGATTTTTGGATCAACTGAAAAAAAGGAAGCGATAATGACATCTTATCAAATGATATGAGATGGTATGAGATGTTGCAGAGGTTTAACAACTAAGCTGCCTTTGGCTCACTGCTAAAAATAATGGTTAGCCTCGCGCTAAAACACCAATCTACAGATTCTTGCTAGATTGC